CTCTGCTGATCATTTTATGGTTTTTCCATGAAGCTGTTTTCTCAATCATTCCAGCTTGAAAAAGTAGCAGAGAAACAAAGTTGCTTTGGGAGCAAAAACGCTAAACCAATTCGAATCAGCCTTTGCTCAATGTGATCAGTAAAAAGTATGTCAAATTCACCTGTTTCACAAGTGGAGTAAATTCCACACAGTACTTGACCATGTAGTCACAGGCAACGCAAGGCAAGGCTTGGTACGTGTGTGTGCTTGTGTGTACATGCTTAGCCTTTTTGTGTCACCCTAGCCATGATTAAGTATCTCCCCCCCCTTTGTTTAGGATCTGACCCAGCCAGAAAGGGGGTCACATTCCCAACCAGTCCCAACTGCACAGATTTCCTCCCCAACCATTTCCCCACAAGTTACCTTGGGTAGGAAACTGCTGAAGTGTTTCTTGATGACCTGATAGGACTTCCCACTCAAGGCAAAATGGAAGTTGCTGCTGCTGCTGTTGGTCTCAACGGTAATGCAATGAGTCTGAAAGTCAGGAGAAAATTATTCCCACGGTTGATCTCCGTGATCTCCTTCCAACTCTTTTGGAAGGCGTGGAAGTGAATAGAAACAAAAGGGACAGAAGTGGGGATGGTCCCAGGCAAAGTGTCTCCACCTTCCGCTGGGGTAAGAATCCCACCTGACCTCGTTCTGCTTCAGATGGGGAGGCATGAGAAGTTGACCTGGTGGACCTGGACCTGCTCTCCCCCCCACCAGTCTCTCTCTCTCTCTGTGTGTGTAACACACACAAACACACACACACAGAGAGAGAGAGAGAGAGAGAGAATTTTGGAAATTATTTTAATTTTAGAGTCCAAGGAGCAGTTCAATTGAAGTAGGACTTCCTGAAGACCTCAATACTGGTTCATCACCTTTTGGATTTAAAAAACAAGCCAACCCTCAATTTGTTTAAAAAACACTCCCCCTTACAGTGAGAATGAAATTAACCATGTAACAGAATTGGGAACCAGGCAAAAAGGAGATTGCCAAGGAAAAGTCCAAGCTCTCCTAGAAACTCCAGTGATGAAGCCCCCGGGAATAAATTTCTCGGTCTTGTGACAGTTGGCTATTTTGTAAGCATGGTAGGTTAGAGAACAGAGGAAAACTGTTATCTGTCCCTCTTTCGCTTTCAGGAGATTGGGGGGATTTCTTCTTCTACATCTTCTTTAGCAGCTGCAGACCTCAATCTAATCAAATGAATTCCTGTACTGTATCTGTGAAATTCTTGCCATCGAGCAAGACCTGAGTGGGATACAGAACTTCACTGCTTCTGGTGGGGAACCGGGGGGGGGGGGGGAAAGCCATCCATCCATCACTCCATCCATCCATCCATCCATCCATCCATCCATCCATCCATCCATCCATCCAATCCATCCATCCATCCATCCATCCATCCATCCATGCCTGCATACTGGAAGTCCAGAAGGAGCTGAAGGCACTGGATGTCAACCCATCCCAGGTCACAGCACATAATTTTTTCCCATTTCCATCAGTCATAGACAAAGACTCAGAAATACTTCAGATGACTTGGATACAAACCAGCCAGAAGCAAATCAGCTGTGATTTGGAAGACAAATAATTCGGACTCAGCCAAAGCAGCTGATAGTTGCCCACCCTGACCTACACTTTGTTCTCTTTCCTCCACCCTAAAAATCCTGGGGGTGCCCAAGCTTTTTATTGCGAGGAAATGAAGGTCAAACCTTCATTACATTCTCTGACATCTGGCGGCAAAAACAACTGTGCCTGGCCGTGTCCGGGTGGCACATGCCTTGACAAGAAGACTGGGAGTGTTCTTATCTGATGCCTTCCATTTTGGAGAAGATCATAGAAATCGGAAGAACCATCCTGAAGAGTAATGGCTACCGGAGTAAAAATGTACCGGTAGGGAAGACCTCAACAGAAGAGGATGCCATTGTCTCTAGAAGGGGCTGCCGACAGAGCTTCCCGGCCCAAGGTTGCTAACATTGCCCATCTTACTTCCACATGCTTGCCCTTTTCACCAAGACTGAATGCTCGTAAAGGCTCTGGAAGTGCAGCCTTACCTGGATTTCTCCCTTGCACGGCTGCGTCTCCTCCACCAGCTGCCAGGTGATGGAGGCCAGCTGCGTCTCCTCGGGCTCGCTGGCCTCCACGAGGATCACTTTGCTGCTGCCGGAGACCATCCCAGAGTGCTTGGCGACGGTGACAGCGGTCTCAAGATTGTCCCCTGGAAAGAAGCGCCCCGTATCAGTATGGAGGTTCAGCCATGCTGGGCCTCACCCACTGGCCTCAGCCCCACAACCAGGTTGATATAATGCTTCACTATTTTTTATTCTAATCATATTTCAATTTGACAGCTTTGCTGCTAGGCACTTGGAACTTTTAGGTCTTTAGTTAATTTGGTGGTTGTTGTGGGTTTTCCGGGCTGTTTGGTCGTATTCTTAAGGTTTTTCTTCCTAATGTTTCACCAGTCCCTGTGGCTGGCATCTTCAGAGGATAGGATTCAGAATTCTGACTGTGCTCTGATGCAGTTTGTTGTATAGTTGAGTATTTATAGCTGTGGGATCAGCTTTTGTCCCTTTCAGGAAATTGGGTGATTATGGTGATCAGCGCATTTTTGTTGTGGGTGTATTGTTGTGATAAGGAGGAGATATTATCTGTCACTGTGATTGCTGGAAGTCGCGAGTTGGTCTTTTCTGTGCAGTGACCAGTTAGCTAGTCTTGTGTGTGCAGTCCTTGTGGCTGGGTAGAATTCGTTGACCTTTTGCAGGCTGTATTTTTCAGTGTTGGGAGCCAGGCTTTGTTGAGTTTAAAACTTTCTTCTTTTTTGTTGAAGCTCTGCTGGTGCTGGTGGATTTCAATGGCTTCCCCGTGCAGTATAACATAATGATTGCTGATGTTGTCCAGTACTTCTGTTTTTTTGAAAGAGAATTTCATGTCCAGCTTGTTTTAGGGCATGTTCAGCTACTGCCGACTTTTCCAGTTGTTTTAGTCTGCAGTGTCTCTCATGTTCTTTGATTATGGTGTGGATACTGCATTTTATTGCTCCAATATATACCTGACCACAACTACAAGGTATCCGGAATACTCCTGCAGTGGTGTAGTTAATTTACCGTATTTTTCTCTGTATAAGATGACCCAATGTATAAGACTACTCCAATTTTTCCAACCCCAAATAAGAAAAGTGGGGATCGTCTACTTCGTTCCTATTTCGGGTAAAGCATGATGAAATGGCTGCACGATCAAAGGGCTGCGATTCTGCAGCCCTTTCATGGCTGCTTTACCCATTGCCTAAGCTGAATACACAGTGGAAGTAAAGAACAGATTTAAGGAACTAGATTTGGTGGACAGAGTGCCTGAAGAACTTTGGATAGAGGCTCGTAACATTGTCCAGGAGGCAGCAACGAAAACCATCCCCAAGAAAAGGAAATGCAAGAAAGCAAAGTGGCTGTCCAACGAGGCCTTAGAAATAGCAGAGAGGAGAAGGGAAGCAAAATGCAAGGGAGATAGGGAAAGTTACAGAAAATTGAATGCAGACTTCCAGAGAATAGCAAGGAGAGACAAGAGGGCCTTCTTAAATGAACAATGCAAAGAAATAGAGGAAGATAACAGAAAAGGAAAGACCAGAGATCTGTTCAGGAAAATTGGAGATATTAGAGGAACATTTTGCGCAAAGATGAACATGATAAAAGACAAAAATGGGAGGGACCTAACAGAAGCAGAAGACGTCAAGAAGAGGTGGCAAGAATACACAGAGGAATTATATCAGAAAGATTTGGATATCCTGGACAACCCAGACAATGTAGTTGCTGACCTTGAGCCAGACATCCTGGAGAGCGAAGTCAAGTGGGCCTTAGAAGGCCTGGCTAACAACAAGGCCAGTGGAGGTGATGGCATTCCAGTTGAACTATTTAAAATCTTGAAAGATGATGCTGTTAAGGTGCTACATTCAATATGCCAGCAAGTTTGGAAAACTCAACAGTGGCCAGAGGATTGGAAAAGATCAGTCTACATCCCAATCCCAAAGAAAGGCAGTGCCAAAGAATGCTCCAACTACCGTACAATTGCACTCATTTCACACGCTAGCAAGGTTATGCTCAAAATCCTCCAAGGTAGGCTTCAGCAGTATGTGGACCGAGAACTCCCAGAAGTACAAGCTGGATTTCCAAGGGGCAGAGGAACTACAGACCAAATTGCTAACATGCACTGGATTATTGAGAAAGCCAGGGAGTTCCAGAAAAACATCTACTTCTGCTTCATTGACTATGCAAAAGCCTTTGATTGTGTGGACCACAACAAACTATGGCAAGTCCTTAAAGAAATGGGAGTGCCTCACCACCTTATCTGTCTCCTGAGAAACCTATATGTGGGACAGGAAGCATCAGTTAGAACTGGATATGGAACAACTGATTGGTTCAAAATTGGGAAAGGAGTACGACAAGGCTGTATATTGTCCCCCTGCTTATTCAATTTATATGCAGAATACATCATGGGAAAGTCTGGACAAAGGTCCGCATAGTCAAAGCTATGGTGTTCCCAGTAGCGATCTATGGAAGTGAGAGCTGGACCATAAAGAAAGCTGACCGCTGAAGAACTGAATTGTGGTACTGGAGGAGACTCTTGAGAGTCCCCTGGACTGCAAGGAGAACAAACCTCTCCATTTTGAAGGAAATCCACCCTGAGTGCTCACTGGAAGGACAGATCCTGAAGTACTTTGCCCATCACATGAGAAAAAACTCCCAGGAAAAGACCCTGATTTTGGGAAAGTGTGAAGGCTGGAGGAGAAGGGGACGACAGAGGACGAGACAGTTGAACAGGGTCACCGAAGCAACCAACATGAATTTGACCCAACTCTGGGAGGCAGTGGAAGACAGGAGGGCCTGGCGTGCTCTGGTCCATGGGGTCACAAAGAGTCAGACATGACTTAGTGACTAAACAACAACAAGCCCCACAGGGCTTAGGAAGTTGGTAAAGCAGCCATGATATGGCTGCACAATGAAAGGGCTGTGATCCTGCAGCCCTTTGATCCCTTCCCCCTTCTTACCTCCATGTATAAGACAACCCTCAATGTTTATTCTAACTATTTTAGGAAAAAGTATCATCTTATACAGTGGTGCCCCGCATAGCGAGGTTAATCCGTTCCGGATTAACCCTCGCTATGCGAAATCGTCGCTAAACAGGTAGGGGAAATGTATTGAAACGCATTAAACTTAGTTTAATACATGGGAAGATACAGTAGTTTGCTCAGGACTGTATTACTCAAACAGCTTTAGAGAAAATAGAATCATAGTTTCCTTTGCATGGGAAAATTCCTGTATGCAACAACAGGTTTGATTCTGTGCCTGTTATCACTTTCTTCTTGAAGGGCTGCACTTTGAAAATGTTCCATCCTTTCTGAATTAACAACATACATTATTTTCTCTCTATTCTCAGTGCTAAACTTAAATTCATCTTCCCATTAATTATACCTGCAAGCACCCTAGTATAATTTCTGGTTATGCCCCCCTACCCACTGGGGTAACAGGAACCTCATTTTCATCTAGGGGTTCTTCCGCCTGCCAGTGAAGAGGAAACGGCACCACCTCGGAGCCGGCCTGGGTCGCCAGTGACTGGAGATGTTCTGGTGGGAACCAGGGTTGTTGCCAGTGTCACGAAAGCTAACCTGTCCCTGAAGACCAGCTTCAGTCCCTGCAGATGTGAAGTGACACCGGGCTCACGATTCCTTCCCCAGCACCAGACAGGGAGATCTTCCCCCCACACACACCGTCACGAAAGCTAACCTGTCCCTGAAGACCAGCTTCAGTCCCTACAGATGTGAAGTGACACCGGGCTTGCTATTCTTTCCCCAGCACCAGACAGGGAGATCTCCCACACACACACACACACCCCACCCTGGCTGTACCTGTGACCATCACGCTCCGGATGCGGGCGTTGCTCAGCTCCTCCAGGACCGGCTTCGTCTCGCTCTTCAGCCGGTTCTCCATGACCAGCAGGCTCAGGAAGGTCAGGTCCGACTCCACCTCATCCCTTGTGAGGAGGGGGGAGAGAAGGGGCCAGGCAAGAGTTAGTCCCCCAAGGGGAAAAGAAGAGGCTATGCCTTGGGCGCTAGGGTGACACAAAAAAGGCCGAGGTGCTCCCCACCCACAGCGAGGGAATCGCTCAGGAGGAAGGCTTTGACGTCGCTGGCCCGGCCGAAAGCCAACCTGCCCTGAAGATCATGATAAAGGCGATCAGATCTCAAAGGGGACCTGCCGCCCTGGGGGGGCTCCTGAGCTCGGAAAACGCGAGAGCAGCTGCAAGCATGCGCCCCATGGAGAAAGCAGACCGGCAGCTTTCTTCAGTAGACGTGCCAGATTAAGACAACATGCCTGGAGAAGGGGCTGGCAAAAGGTGTTTGGTACCCCAGGAGATGGGTGAGCACTGCCTTCTCCTCCCATCAAGGAATCAAATTGCCCACATTCAAATCCAGCAAGAGAGCAAGCGGAGAATTTTCCGTTGCTCCATTCTCATCGGTCCCATCATTCTACCCAAGGACATCTCTATCCACTGGACAAAAGGTCGTGCAATCTCTTTGCACCTGAACACGACTGGAATAAGAAAATAAATTCCTTCCCAGAGAGCAGCCCCACAGCCCAGAGGATTAAGGATCTGAAATCAATCCATGCAAAAGGATTCAACACACATTTGATCAGATACACATGGAAGCCACTTGGGGAGAAAATCACACAGAGAGAGAGAGAGAGAGAGAGTTGACAACCTTGTCTGGAGGCACCTCAAGGTGTCACAGAAAAGAGGGACTACTTAGGGGTTCAAAATACCTATAACTAAATGTGCCAGACATTGGGTTTTATTTCATTAAAGCTAAACTGCTGGAGTGCTCTGGAGAGGACAGCTGGCTGAGACAGGTCAGCATGGAGTTTGGCTCGCCTCCTGCAGGCCTCACCTTTCCAGGTCTTCCACGTCCACCCCTCCCTGCGAGGAGAGCTCCTTGTGTGCCAGGGCAAGAACTCGGAAGCCTTGCATCGTGAAGTGTTTGAGCTCCGACTGGAAGTCTGCTGGAACTGGGGGAGGAGGAGAAGAAGAAGAAGACATTCCCATTTGAGGCACAGAATCTGGAGCCTCGAGAGCTTCTGGTGTGCTCAGATGGTCCTGGTGAAGCATGGAAGGCAGAGGAAAGTGCTTCGGGAAGAGAGGAAGGGCCCCTGCAGTCCTTCTGCAGACCACTGACTCCAGGGAAGGAAGCCTCCCACCCTCTGGGTTAATAGCCAGCTTCCTCTCGAACGCCTTCCTGTGCGGCCTGAATGGGCCCCGGTAAAGCTGCCACCCGGACCTTCCCCTCCTCTACCATTCTCTTAGTGAGTCAGGAAAAACAGGGCCGGGGTCCTGTTCAGGGAAAGAGTTAAACCAGGACTTTTCAGCACCACGGACAGGGGTCTCCCATGCACTTCTCCATGCTCAGAAAGGTGTGCTGAAGCAACACGATAACGGGTAAAGATATTCCACAGGCATGTGATGAAACACGAGTGTACATGCGTCTCGTAAAACCTGACTGGGGCAGAGGCCTCTACGCAGCTGCTTCTTGGGGGTACAACCTTGGAATGCTCTCATGTCTCATGGAGCACGCTGTCATGTATGGAGGTGGATGTCTCAGTACAGGATTAGCTCCCTCCCAGCCTGTGGTCATGGTCATCCCCCCACACATGGGGAGTCGGTGCTCCTTACCTGTTGCTGGGTTGCAGAAGCTGGCCACCCTCTCCGGGGCCCCCTTCATGTAGAGCTCGTAGGCTTCCTTGCCGAGTTCTTGGGTCAGGACGGACATCCTCTGCAGAGCGGAGGAGAAGGGGAACTGGCGCAGGATCGCGATCCCTTCCACCGGGGCCTGTGAGGGACAAAAAGAAGACAGGGCCCGGCTGGGCATCTCCGTGCAAGCTGGCACCCAGGCTGCCCTGAGGAGCCCCCAAGGGGTTCTATCCGGGGGACAAGGTGGGCAAGACAGAGCAGCCGGGTCCTTTCCAAAAGCCCGCTGGCCCTTGGGGTTCCGCTCCGCCCTGGAAGAGAAGCCCCTGACCCACCCCGACCTGCACCTATGGATTCACCCCTCTTTTCAGCGGCTGCCCAAACTCTTGTTCCCCCCCCCGGCATGTCCCCATTCAGAACAATTTCACAGGATGGTTTTTCTGGACAGGCAGAGGTCCCTGTGGACGCCTCCTCCTGGCTCTCCTCTTCCTCGCCTCCTGTGCTCAGGAGGGCAGCTGAGGCTCACCCACTCAGCATCCTCCTTCCCGTGTGGGTCTCCCCTCATTTTTCCGGCCAGCTTGATCACTTGGCTCACATCCTCATCCCAAGGGATGATGCGAATCCAGCATCATCTTTCCCTGGCAGGTGGCCCCTTTGCAGAGTAAGAAAGTTTTCAAAGTCCTGCAGGGGGTGAGGGGGCAACGTCCTTTTGGTCCTTTCATGAGGAGATGCGGTGCTTACCTGGGAAGCAGCAGGTCCTGGCTTAACGATGGTTAACAGTGTCTGTGATGAGCAGCCTGTGCCTCCCTTTCGAGGGGACTCCTCCATCTCCTGCAAGAAGGGGCGGCGGGGGGGGGGTGCGCCCCCTGCTGCCGTCCAGGAAGGGGGGGGGGGGGGGGAAACCCACAGCATCACTGGAAGGCATTCCGGGGGGGCTCCTGGAGACTCGGCATAAGGCCAATGCAATGTTTCTAATGTGGAAAAGGACAAAATGCAGCTCTCTGGTGTTTGTGCTTGCTGAGTCTATCCCGACAACTGCCAACTAAGCTCTCAGGAGGAGAAATCGTTGTTCTTATGGGGGATTTCAATTATCCTCACAAAAAAGAATGAGAAACAAAACACAAAACACTTATGCCTTAAAACAACAAAGAACTAGTTAGAGTGGAGGTCATCCTGTGCTTTATCCTAAAAGCCAAAAGGAACCAGTGTAAGTTCACCGACGTGTCAAGCTGGACAGGACTTGAAGCTCAATCCACTCCCGGGGTGGTGGAGGGGACTGGGTTTTTTGAACCACTTGGGAATAGTGACCAAAAGTGGAAAATTACCAAGGAAGATCATTAGAGAAAAGGTGCTCCCTTAAAACCTGGAAATCTGTCCCAAAGAAGTTTTTTTAAAAACACAATGTGTTACACAAAATGAAATGTATGTAGCTAATAAATAACAGCAAAAGGGGAGGAAGAGGAGACCGGCTGGAAAAGTGCATTGCTAGTAACATTAATGTCAACCGGGGAGGGGGGGGGAGAGAAATCCATAGATATATCAGAAGGAGCAACATTGCTGGGGAATTTGTTGGACTGGAAGATGATAGAGAAGATCTGCAAGAGGCAGAGGGTAGAGAAAGGGACTGGAGAAGGGCTGAATCTGTTCTCTGGGTCTGCCGTTACTGTAGAAGGTGCAGGAAGGGCCAGAGACTTGGCTTTGGAGCATTCTGCTTGAGTTCCTGGTTTCAAAAGAGACAAAAACAGAGCTTAGCCACATGGGTACACTGGATTTTAGGAGATGAGTATCAAAAATGCACATTCCTGCACAGAAATACAGGAGGCGGAGATTGGCTGTCCCATCGAGAGCATCTGGATCAATGTAGTCGGGGCAAAAAAGAAAGAAAGAAAAAGAGGAACATGGGAGTTTGTCAAGAGTTGGAGTCTACCACCGGCTGCCCAATCAAAGAGAGGAAACAGATGGTGACCTCAAGTGAACTTCCGGGCTAGTTGCCAAGCTGAATGCAACAGCTTGCTGCTCTCTTCCACTTGCTGATGTATGCATTTATTTTATAAATGCAGATGGTTTTTGTTTTCTTTTTTGATACCCTCTAGAACTGGAGTTCTTCCAAAACCTGGGATGAAATTCGTAAGCTCAGCTGGCTGGCAGGCCCATTTCTGTTTTCTGTTTACTCCTTTCTTTCTTTTTAAAACTCCGATAAGTTGTTTCAAGGAAGCAGATAACGAACGAACACAACTAAACTTCTTAGCTGATACTTTCTCAACGGTAATATTTATAATTGGAAAGACTCTGCCTAATTGACCATCAACTCCTCAATATCTACAGCTGGAAAATACAGCTATTAACCAGCTTGACACTCTGTGCTGTTACTGACTAAATACCCTGAAAAATGGTTGTCGTTGTTGTGATTGTTGGGTGACGAATATTATTGGAGAATAAATGTACGCTGAAGAGGGACACAAGTCTGTGCAGATTTTGTTTTGGTTTTGCAAAACAACCTCAGACAGAGGACTGTCACATACAGCACTGATGGTACCTGTCTGTCATGGGTTTGGAGGGAAAGTTCCATCCTATGGGGAGTGGAAGGCGGGACATCAGGGGGGAGGAGCTGTACTGTATATATATTTGGGGAAAGTCCATCGTAGTGGAGCTGACGTGGAGAAGTGGAGTTGGAGTCTGTGGGTCAGACTGGGTACAACTGTTCGTCAGACAGTACATACCTGATAGGTTCGGGTTTCTATCTAGGTAGCCAGAACTGATAGGTTCAGGGTCTGTGCGTTACCTTAAAGTGTTCCGTGAGAACCAATCTGTTGTATGTGTATGATTGGGACTATACCAAGTTCCAGTATCCTATTTACCTGATCCTTTTATTTACCCTGTTTGTTTTTTCAATAAACCTTGTTCTTTTGTTTATTAAAATCCATTCCTGGTCTGGGTGACTTGGTAGAGCGAATGGTTGGTGGCAGCCTAACTACAGGGTGGGATACTCCAGTAGGTCTGGGGTCGCTACAAGGACCAATATCCCTATCTGCTGTGAAAAACTAAGAGATGGTTGTTAATGACTGGACCTTATATATCATTGCTTTGTTCGAGTTTACCTTGAAGACCTGGTCGGAGGTCTGACTGAGTGCCTGAAGGAAAGATCCGAATAGTCTGGCCAGGGCTGGCATTGGGAAACCAAGGCTCACTGTCAGTTGAGATCCTCAAAGGGGAAAAGGAGAGGAAGAAAAAGGAGGAAGAAGAGAGGAAGGAAGAAAAAAGTTTAAAGATTAATATTAACTAAAAGGGTCATCTGGAAGGACAGATCCTGAAGCTGAGACTCCAATCCTTTGGCCATCTCATGAGACAAGAAGACTCCCTGGAAAAGACCCTGATGTCGGGAAAGAGTGAAGGCGAGAGGAGAAGGGGACGACAGAGGACGAGATAGATGGACAGGGTCATCGAAGCGACTGACATGAATCTGACCCAGCTCCGGGAGGCCGTGGAAGACCGGAGGGCCTGGCATGTGCTCTGGGTCCATGGGGTCACGAAGAGTCGGACACAACTTAATTACTAAAAAACAACACAAGGCCCTTTCCAACTCTATGCTTCTATGATTTGGTGAGCTGAGGCAAATAATCATGACAAGAGCTGAAGTTAAAGACATTCTTGACAACCACCACGTCCAGATTGTACCCATATGAGAGTTTGTAAGGAAATCAAAGGCTGTGCTGTGAGACAGAGGACCGGACCGGGGATGGCTAACATAACAGAAACATGAAGGATGATTCTGGGGAACCAAGAAGCTCACAGGCCAGTGAACTTGAGGTCTAGAAAAAGGGAAAGTCTGGAGAAACAGATTAAAGATAAAATGACGAAGGTGATACAAGTCCCTGCTGGAAAAGTTTCAACATGACTTCTACAAAACTAAATCTTGTCTCACTGTCAGTGTTTTTGGTGAGTGGGAATAAGGATGCAAGCAGGATGGTCCACACGGCCAGTTTTGTTTAGGCATTCAAAGAGCTTCTGGCCACGTCCCTCATGAAAGACTGCCGAACAAGCATAACCCTCCAGGGATAAGGGCAGAGGCCATTCAAAACCGATTTTTTAAAAAGAAATAGCACAGCAGGAATAAATGGGCAGAGGAGATGCTGCTCACCCAGTCGGTGCCCTGAAACATCTCCAGGTCCAGCGGGTCTCCCTGGATCCTCCCGTCCAAGAGCAACAGGGAGTGGCAGGTTGCCATGGCTCGGCACAGGGGGCCCCAGGGCAAAGGGGAGCCGGAGGAGAAGGAGTGGACGTCCTGGAAACTGGCCCAAAAAGTGAGAATTAGCCTTCAGCCGCCCCTCTTGGGAAGGACGTCGGGGACTTGGGGACGTCTCCATTCACAGCTCGGTCTCAGATCAGTGGGTAAATGGCCACCAGACACCTCGACAGCCTCCTTCCTTCCACCGCTGTCGTTCCTCCACAACGTGGCCACCAAGATGCCACGCAAACACTTTCTCCGTGGGCCATGGGCTCCCTAGAGCTGCCCCTGCCCTGGGCAAAACCAGGGCAGGCCAAGAAGAACCAGAGAGGGAAGCCCTTCTGGCCGCAAACTGAAAGCGACACTGTGGATGATGTCCATGAGTAAAACAAGCAACCCACACTGTGCCTCAGCACCCTTTAGGGCATAATGCCAAACCAGCGCGCCCATCTCTAGGGCCCAACTAGGAAGAACTGCTTCTCCTTTGCACACTGTCCTGATCTCTGGAAATTAAGGAAATCATGAGATTCCCTGAACCCAGGCCAGGGGGGTGGCCAAGAGAGACGCCTTACCTCCTCTTCCGGCAAGGGATGACGCCCCAGAGATTGAGCCCGTCCTCGGTCAGGGTGCCAGTCTACATTCAAGGAAAGTGGGACAGGACGTCAGTGCAAAAGAGAGTGGCCCTGATCCTCCCCTCAGTCTAGCGGAAGGGGTCAAGCCCGGGACCTTCTCTCAGGGAGGGGCCACCAGCCAAGAGTGGGGAGGGGCAGAGGTTGGGAGCCTGGAAGGCAGGGCAAAATGGGGAGCACTGTGGGGTGCAAAGCTTCTTACCCCCACAGTCCATGGAAGCTGAACCCCCGACAGCTCAGCCCTTAGCAAACGGAGTCATCCTGGAGACCATAGAGGTCTTCAATACCTCTCTCCCTCTCTGCTCCACGAGGGCTCCAACCCGCCACCCCCCCCAAAGATGTCCTCCTTGGGCCGCACCTTGTCAAAGCACACCAGGTTGATCTGCCCGCAGATGTTGATCCTCTGGGGGCTGATGCAGAAGATCTTCTTCTTCTTCAGCCTCCTCTGGGCGTAAACGATGCCGGTGGTCAAGGCGACCGGGAGCGCTGGGGGCACAGCACACGTCAGCAGGAGGATGGCCATAATCACCGTGTCGGACACCGGTTGCTGGAAAATGGAAAAACCCAACAGAACACGGAGCGTAAGTGTGAAGTCTGAAGGAGGGGGAGAGATGGTGACTCATCCCCAGAAGTGGCAGAAGGACACCGGATGGAGCCTGCCACGGAGAGTCAGGGCGGAGGGAGACTCCTGGGAGGACTGGAGGACACGGCAGAGGGAGAACCAAAGCAACAACAAAGGGGTGCAAGTTTCTTCTGCAAAGCAGGGATAAGGGACGGGTTCACAGCTTGGTTTCCAACCCACCACAAGGCCACAGAGTCCTCATCTACGGCGAGGAAGCATTGCTACCCTGCTGTCACTCAGCTCGGGCCCCCATAGATCAGTGTCTCCCCAAAAGATCACAGCAGGTAGGTGTCCTGCCAAACTATTCAGATCAATGCCTTCAGCCCAGGCAGAATGAAAGCAAGGCACTCCGTTCCGGCATGAGGGTGAATCCCATGCCCCCACCCACCCAGCTTCCTAGACTGTTGGCAGTGCTCAGACACGGCACCCTTCTGGCCCCCTGGCAGGGTCACTGTCAACTCTGAAAAGTTAACGGCTCTCAGGCAACTGAGCAGAGGACAAAGAAACCAGAGAGTTTCTTGGAGCGGAACGATTTATTTTGAACTTAGAAATCACAGATGCAATTGTGGGTGCCCAAAAATCAGGGGACGCAGAAGACAAAGGATGACCAGCTGTCCTATACCTTTGGCTGGCATGATATTCACTCCTCTATCTACTTAAGGCCAAAAACTCTTTTCTATTCCTTGAGAGGCTTTTTACTATGCACGAAGGGGTCTGCACTATGTTAGCTTGATACATGACATTAAGATTTTTCTTCCAATGAGCACAGTGGGCTATCAGAAAGAGAGACCTCATCTTCTAAGATCTAGAAGCAATTAAAATCCATTTCAGCTGAACTCTGAAGGGGGTGGTGGTGGCTCAGGAATGCCAAAAAGCCAACTAGGTGAGGACTCAAAGCATACGCGTTTCACTTGCTTAGAACTAATGGCAATCGGTTAATATATTTTGTGGGTTGTATTCACTTCACAGCTGTGTTGCCAAAACGTACCTTGTGCTTTGTGTAGACACAGGCTGCATATACCAGCCCCACAATGCCAATCACGACCAGGAACATAATGAATTTGAAGGCCTCTCTGTGGAGCTTGAAGTTCAGTGGTTTTGGGTAGAGGATGGACCTCACCAGGTCTCCCTTGGCGGTGTTGAAACCTGCAGCAAAAACGTTGAGTGGGGTCGGTGAATAGAGCTGGCCTGCATGCGGGTGGCAGAGGAGAAAACCCCCAGAAGGCAGCAGGATCCCCTCCTGGCCTGGGATTGCCTCGCACCGCAAAGGGACTCTGACCTCGTGGGCACCAGCAGAAGACACCCTATATTACTGGCATGGCTCCTTCTTAAACAAAGGACAAGGCCCAGCTGTATATCACATCAACTTCTTTATTATATTTGCAGGAGGAGGAGGAGAAAGAGGGAGACGTGGAGGCAAATCGCAGGCTGCTCTGCTCCTAGTTGCTCATTTTATCCTCTGCTGGATCCAATAAGACCTGTGGCAAAGGGATCACCTGATCCATCCCAAACTGGGACCCACAGCAGATGGAAACCTCCCATTAATGTTTCTTGTCCAAACTGGTGTCTCCCATTCCTTGGTGGCCAACCGCTCCTCACACTGAGCCAGTGCTTCCCAACCTGGGTTCCCCAGATGTTCTTGAATTGCAGCTTCCAGAAATGCTGGCCAGCACTGGTGGTGGTGAAGGCTTGTGGGAGTTTTGGATCAAGAACATCTGGGCACCCAAGACTGGGAAGCTTTGCATTGCCAGGGCATGGGATTCAATGACCCTGAGGGAGCCCAGCCAGTTCTGCAGCCCTGTCCTTCTGGGCTCAGCCTCATGCTTCCACCTACAACAGCAACTTCCTGGTCTTCCTGATGCCCCCCTTTTTCATGTATGAAGGAGCTCCTGGCCTCACAGTGAAAAGAAGCAAAGCCATGGATCCGTTCAACTCACCCGTCTGGAGCACAACCGCTATGGCTGGTCCTTTGCTGGCCCTCCTGGTCTGGATGATCTCCGTGCCACAGAAGAGGACGTGGCGCCGGTAATCCTCCGTGCTGTGCTTCTTCCAGGGCAGGGTCTGGTCAGCGTGGGGCAAGGAGGTCTTGGTCACCGGGACACTTTCGCCTGCAAGGGCCGCACGGATCACACCAGGCTCAGGGCAACTCAGCCTCATTGGCAACCAGACCAGCGAACCCCATCAGGAACCGCCCCGGGTCCTTTCCGCAGCCGATCTGGATCAGACCCTATGGCTTGGCCAGGTCTTCTTTCTCTGAGCCAGAGGCGACCTTGGCCCATGGCAGTGGAAGCAGTGGGCCAGGGAAAAGAAGGTCCAAGCTGGACAGGTGGGAGGGGGCAAGGGGGGCCTCCGTACCTGTCAGCATCCCCTCGTTGACCACGCAGCCTCCCTCCAGCAGGATGGCGTCGCAGGGCAGAGAAAACTTCTGCCCTTCCAGGAGAAGGATGTCCCCGGGGACTAAGTGGCAGGACTCCATCTTCTGGGCACCTACAGAAAAAAAGGACGACGGGTGCAGAGGGGGACATGTTAGAAATGAGTCACGGGGGCCTTTTGGGGGGCTTCTTGGCTGACCTCCCCTGGGAGGTGGTCTAAAAGTGGAGGAACAGCCGTTGGGAGGACCCTTTTTTGTGGGTGTCTGCAGTTCCCCCCCACCTGTGTTGAGAGATGCTCGGATGGGAAGAGGCTGGTGTGGAGGGGGAAACCCAGAAGCCCCCTTCTCCGTCCCCAGCCAGGGTCCCTCCACCTACCTTCGTACTTAGACCAGGCTGTGACCTCGACCCTGTTGTGCTCCTCCACCAGGTTGTGCAGTTTGACGGATTGCTGCAGGAAAGAGGAGGAGAATAGGCTGGAATGGGCATTGGGGGGGTGGGCTGGACGGTCCTCTCAGCCTCAGGGCAGGACGGAGGCCGGACAGAGAAATTCAGAGTCCACCACCACTTGGGATCTGGTCCCCTGGCAAACCTAAGGAGCAGTTAATCTCTCTCCCTCCCTCCTTCTCTCCCCCCCCCCCAATGCCTAAATTACTTAACACAAGGAAATGAAATTTAGGATTCCCGGGTGGAAGCAGGCAGGAGAAAATCAGCACAACTTGTTTTGTGGCAACCCTTGGCCAAGAAGCACCACAGACACAGGGAAAGGTGTGCCTGTCCCTCCTCGATTGTTCCCAAGGTATGTTACTTCATTGCCAGGTAAAGGTGAACAACAACCACCACCGTTGCCGCTGCAGCCGCATGCCAATTCCAGCTGCTAAGCGTTTCTAGCCACGGAACTCAGGGATGGTCTATCCGTCCCTCCTTCCGCTGGAGCCCAGAGACCCGCCGTCTTGCCCAAGGCTACACCGGTGGCTGGAGATAAAAGCCTCACCATCCACGCAGATCCGCTTGACAGCACACCTTAACCTACTTAATAAACCGTTAAACCTGGCGCCAGGCCCTCTTGGGTGGCCTACCCCCCCCCTCCAATACCATGGTGGAAATTATGACGCATTTATCCTCCCGGAAATGAAAGCCGGGGTTACGAGCAAGCCGGGTTCGTTTTCATCTCTGGTCCTGGATCGGAAGTGAGGAGCAGTGTCTGGGGTGAGGCCCAGATCATCCTTGGCCTTTTTAGTTCAGCCTTATTTTCTTAGGTTAGACGTTGCTCTGTGTTCCAGGGCGTTTCATCACAGATTGTTGGCCAAGACCTCTGAGTCTGGTGTTAGGGGCTGAATTGAAGACCTCCAGCCATTCACACATTTAGCCCAGCATGGCCAGCTCAGATGGACAGTGCTCAGGATCTCAGGAAGACCTGGCCCATGCCTTCATCATTTCTGAAGTGGAGGGGGCAGGTGGAGAATGAACTCAGAGCTTCCTGTACACAGAGCGCAAATGCCCGGCTTCTCAGCTGCTATGGGTTCTTCCCTCCCTTTCTTGAATTCTTGCTTCTTTGTTGAAGCTCGGCCATTTTCTTGGAAAGTGTCAGGCACAGAAGATGGTGAGCAGGCTTCGCCACTTACCTGCAAAGGGCCAGGAGCCGTCTGGACGGATCCTGACTCGCTCTGTGTGTGTGCTGTGCCCTAAGGTGACCCAGCTGGCTCTCTCAGGAACCCAGCTGGCTGAGCCAGCTGCAGAGACGCCCCCAGAGACGCCTCAAGCACTGGCATTCTTCCCGGCCATAATTTGAGGAAACTCTTCTCCTCTCCCAAACAACACACTAAACAAAGGGTGCCACGTTCATGCGTTTGCGGTGCGGCTGGAAAGGAATGCTGGCTGGCAGCACCTTTCCAAGCTCTTTGGAGCAGGAGAAGAGCGGGTTGAAGAACAAGGTGGGCATGGCCAGGAGTTTCCACCCCCATCCTGTCAGAGAGAAAGTGTGTGTGTGTGTGTGGGGGGGCTTAGCCTTTGGCGTCCCCAGAGGAGGCCCTTTCCACAGACCCAGGAGCCATCTAAGAATTAAGGAAAGGACAACGTGGAGCCTTGTGTGATAAAGAGCCCCCTCACACCCTACGGGCCACAATCTGTTACCCCCTGAGAGGCTGGACCATCGGCACCTTCTCACACGCGGTGGTGCTGAATTCCATCTCAGCACAAGAGGTGTTGGGGGGGGGCAGATTGAGGGCCAGGGCAGTCTCTCCTCTGGGCATTGCAGAGGAAGAGCGGGGGGGGGGGCAAATCCCGTCCAAGAGGGAGACTCACCTGTCGAAGGTCATAGATGGTGACCACAATGGAGATGACGGTCAGGATTAAGATCGCACTGGCATACTCGTAGTATCCCTGGGACAGCCAGAGAGTCAAGGTGAAGGCTTGGAACAGGTAAAAAGGGTTCAGAACCTGCCGAGAGAGCACAGGGCCAGGCAGCGCCCGTTCAATGCACCAGGCTACTTCTGGATTAAGGTCCAGGAACCGTCTGGACGGATCCTGACTCACTCTCTGTGTGCGCTGTGCCCTAAGATGACCCAGCTGTCCTCCCTCTGCCAAATGAAGGTTGCGACACGTCAGAGGCACAGGTCCATCACATGCTCCTCACTTCTCACGCCTCTGACTCGCTAGGGCTCCCCAGCTCAGAGGCAGAAAGCCTCCCCCCGAAGTGGGTCAGCTTCCGCAGGCCAGGCCTCCAGGCCTCCATGGGTCTCCGGCCTCTCCCTGGGCCTCTCCTCGAACTGTGGAGCCAGGAAGAAGGGAGCTGGGCCCCCTCGGCAGCCTCAGGACGCCCTGGCGCCAGATCTCTTTCAGGACATCTGGATTTGGCCAGGTTGCGTCTTACTTGAATCTTTCCCCTTGGGTCCCAGGCAGAGAGAGAGAGAGAGAGAGACGGCGACCGTCAGCGGACAGTCACAAACTTAGGGAAAGGAAAGTGGTGTGGCTGCTAGGAGAGCCCTCGGTTTTGCCCTGACTGACCCCACCTTCTTCCCTGCTGAAATAAAAGAAATCTAAGAGTGCTTCAGTGAGATTCGACAAGGCCCATGCCACACTTCAAGAAAACGCAAGAAAGAGGGTCCCATCTGGAGGCAGCCACCCGTCTTTTGCTGATTCAACAAAACAGTATGTGCAATAGTGGCAGCTGAAGAATTTAAGATCGGCATTATATTTTTTTTAATGCATTTTGCTCCAGTAACCCAAGGAATTCCATTCACAGCCCTCTCCGTGCTGCTGCTGCTCACGCCACTCCTCTCTCCCTCGACTGTCTTGGTGGCTGGGCCTGCTTCTGGGCATTTATTCTGTGAAGCAGCACGTATGGGAAGAGGGCTGCTTAAAAATGCGAACCAGTTATGATAACCTGCCTCCTCCCAAAGGCTCTCACCATCCCAGGTGAGAGGAGAGACTCCCTTGAGCCAGTGCCCTCCAGATGCCCTGGGCTGCAATGCCCATCCATCCGCCAACCTGCTGATCCTGGCTGGCTCTGGGGCTTGTCGCGAGGCAGGTGGGGCAGGACTCCATTGGTGGGGATTCTGACCTAAAGGCATCTGCACCGCCTGTTAAAAGGCAGCCAAGCTCCACCTTGTTGCAAAAGTCCTTTTGCTCTCTCTCAAAGCCTGCCAAGCTAGAGGAGCCTGTCGGAAGTTGTTAAAAGTCCCCGGGGGGGGGGAATCAGGGGGTTTCTAGGAAACCACTCGGTTACCTCTTTAAAAAGCAGATTCCAGACAGGGCGGATTTCTATTTCAATTGTGTTTGGCCCACACACCAGCCTCCTGGAAAAAAAAAAAGAGAAACAGGTGAAAAGGACAGCTTGCTTACCTATAACTTGGATTTCCTCCGGTGGCCATCTGTCTGCGCGGGGACAGTGGAGGGAGAGCGTCTTCCCACTTCTTCCCTTAGGCTCTAGAAGAGCCCACCAAAACATTGTCTTTAAGGTGTCACAATATTTTTTCTCTTGTTTTTTTTAATTTGTCTGATATACTGATAAGTGTGACAAAGTTATAACCAATTGGATTGTGTTATCTAAGTAGATCATAAAGCCAGCTCAAAAAAAGGGTAAACATTCATTCTCAATTAATAAGGATTTGGGCCAGTTTGCGACTTTCCCCTTGAAAACTCTCCAAGGGGACACACTTTCACTTTCCCAGTGTCTCCCAGTATGATCAGATGGTGGGAAAGGTGTCCGTCTGGTCCCACTGGAAAGGTTCACTTTAATGGGCGCAATCTCCTTTAAACAGAGCCTTTTTGTCTGCAGGAGAATCGCTCCAGCCCAGCCCTCAAAAATAAAAAGCCCTACAGCTAGACTAAAACAAACCCAGCTTGAGCCGGGATGGAGCTCAGGCTGAAGTATGTATTCCCCCATTGCATTGTGTGATCACCGGGAAATACTAGATCACACAGACTTGCTCCATAAGCAGTTCTAATTGTGACCTATTTCCTCATTTAGTCACACTCTCAGTCATAGTCAGTAATCAAAGCTGGGGAAATGGAAAAATAGTCTTGAGAGCCAACATCATGCCAGAGATTCTTACAGACACCAGATTTTCCTGTTAAGTTTGTTTCTAGGGACAGGCTTGAATGGGGGATCCCACAATCTTGCCCACTTCCAGAATTCCAGAGAAATGAAGGAAGGTTGAAAAGGGAAGGGGAAGAAAGGAGAGAGACCCTGCGTTGGTCTCCCTCGCCTCAGGCACTGACCAGTAGGGGCTGCTCTCCCCTACGGACCCTACCTGAGGTCCTTCTCTTTCCTCGTCAGCCCATCTCCGAATTTGCGGTGAATGTCAGAACAGGTGTTGCTGTCCTCAAGCGACCTAGAAAGGGGGGGCAATGCAGAGAAGTGGACAAACGTCCCAGAAGGGGGAACCTTGGGCCCTTCAGAGTCTCCTGATCATAGACGAGACACTCACCCGACTCTGACAAACTCTTTCCCAAGGATGTCCCAGACGTAGCGGATTTTCTGTGCCTGGATGTACCTCACCTACAGGAGTGGCGCATGGACAAGACAAAGGTGGGATTAGGAGAAGCCTGGACATTTACAGAGGTGGCACCTGCTCCATTTGGCCCGCCTCCAGCCTCAGGAGGATGCAGGATCTGGTCTCCTCTTCTCCCAAAAGGAAGCAAAGGAGAAAAAGCTTGGAGGCCCCTCTGGATGTTCTCCTGCTTCACCCCTTGAGGGCCAGAGAAGGCTTACTTTCAAGTCAGGCTTCCTGATGGCTCTGGTGATGACGGATTCGTGGTCGGCACTGAAGAGGTGGTCCAGCTTTTCACTCTCCAGGACCTTCGACAGGTCGAGCAGGATCACCTTCTTCTTGGTGCATTTCTGAAATTCATCCTAAGGAAGGGGAGCACAGACACCTGCTCAGGCAAGAGGGGCGACTTCCTGCCTTCCAGCACAGATGAGACGATGGGAAAAACGCAAGCCACCTACCGTTGTTCGTAGCAGGACGGTGTCGGCTTCCTCCAGGTCGCACGGCTGGCAGGTCGCCCAGACGCCCCACTCCGGCTTCCAGTAGAACACCAGCCAGAGGGCTCCGCAGGAGAGGACGTACCCGGCCAGGCACAGGGCCTTCCAGAAGCCCCGGGTTCTGTAGCCGAATATCTCCTGTGAAGAAGACCAGGGTCAAGCGCCTGCACCTCCAGGTTTCTTGTTCAGAGGGGTAGCAAACCAGAGAAATACCTGACCGCTGTGGTGTAGCGGGTTCCTGGAGGTCTCCTGAACCCCCTGTCCTACATGGCAGCTTCCCTGGATCTTCAGCCTGGTCTGCTTTCCCTCCACCACAGTCAATCCCTTTCCTGCACCAGCCTCACCTTCCTGATGGCAGGGATTGACTGGGAAAGAACGTGGTTTTCTCCCTGTGGCCCAGAAACCCTTGCTCAGTCTTGCTTTCCCCTGAACCTTGGAAGGCCCTCCAAGATGGGTCATCCTGTTCAGTGCTTCCAGCGCCTCCTGCTCAACCAGCCTTTGAGAAGGGACCTCAGTTGGCCCTGCCCCAAGGACTTTTCTCCTTCTCGTCCTCCTTCCTCTGACTTTCTCTTGCTCAGCTCAGCTGACTTGTATTTCTGAGGCCCCACTCCTGCCCTTCTCCTTCCCTCAGCCAGTCCCTCTTCCCCTGGAAACCCACATGCTTGGCCAAATCTCCCCACACTCACCCAGGAGCCCCGCTAATGTTTGCTTCGTTAGCACAAGTTCTGTAATCACACCAGCCCCACTGTAAACTGCAGCCAGCTGCGTGACTGTCCTTAAAAGGGGGTTGGACCTGCTCCCAGGCGAGGCTCTCCGGGGCTACTAGAGAGCAGTGGCTGCATGTTATCCCCAGCACCATCCAACGTGGCAAGAGGCCGGGACCTTGACCTTGCCTGGGAACAGGAGCAGTGAGAACTGAGGCAGCCACATCCTGCTGTGAGAACATAAGCTTGGGCTAGGGGGGTCCTTTGCCTCTTCTTATGCACCTGCACATGTTCAGCCCCTCCCTGGGGAATGTCTAGGAGGAGCCTGGTGCCCACATTTGCAGCATCCCATGGACAAAAACAGGGATGCTTGGACAGGCTAAGAATAACTTCTTATCTCCCATCTATCGCCTTCCTTCACCTTGGCTGTTCAAGTGGCCAACACCTGGGAGGGGGGGGACTCTTGGACGTCTGTGTTAGGAGGAGTTCTGCCAAGGGAGGCTATGCCAGACAGAACCTTGCGGGTAACGGGGTCATCCTATGCAGACCCACTCAGAACTAGGTCCCACAGAGCTTAATGGGACATAGGCATCCTTCAGTCTCAAGAGATGATGGGAGCATGCTCAGAAGAGAGGACTTGGAACAGCGTCTAGTGTGGCTGAAGAGGCCAATTCGAGACTGACAGCAATCCCTTCCACGCTGAAGACAAATGCCATCTGTCCCCTGCTAAAAATTCCAGCTCGTGCTAGGACTACTCTATAGGGAATTTTGTCCAGGTGATACCAAAATGCATCTGAGACAACACATATAGAACGTGTCCAGCTTCCTGTCCTGCCTTGCACAAAAAGGGTCCAGGACTCACTGCAGGACAGGAGTGTGCTCAGGACACAGGCTCTATAGACCTGGATCTTGGTCTATGGGACATAACGTCCAAGTGAATATAGGTCACCAGCTAGGGTTGCTGTATTCCAGTTCTCCAGGTCTGCCTAGATTACTTTCCACATTATGCTAAGTAGCTAATGTTACTGTTTGTTCATTATGTAGACAGAGCAGTTTGCTTATTGCATTGTTTCTAACTCACCCTTTTTCAGCACCTTGGCATCCTTTCTGTCGTAAGCGCTGATCAGAGCGTGCCAGCAACTTGGAAGGGTTAGAGTGCTGGATTTGGAGTAGTAAGATCCCCCCTTTACATTCCTGCCACTCTCTATCAGCCAAATCTACCTTACAGGTTGTTTCCGGGAGAAAATAGGGAGAAAGAGCCATGTAAAGCAGCCCTTTACCTAAACCAGTGGCTCCCAACCTTGGATCTTCAGATGTTTTTGGACTACAATTCCCAGAAATCCTGGCCAGCACTGCTAGTAGTGAAGGCTTCCAGGGGTTTTGGTCCAAGAACATCTGGAGACCCAAGGTTGGGGAAAACTGGCCTAAGGTATCTAAATTGCATGTCTCCCAGTGGGGTAGGGAGAAGAGGAAGCAAGAAAACAGGCAGGAGCTTAGCCTGCGTCCTGGAGACCAAGCAGTAGTTGATGGCACTGAGTTTCACCCTTCCTTCCCATCTCAGGTCACAGCCCTTTATTCCCCCTATTTTTATATGTTTTCACTAATCATAAATAGACAAATATAAACAGAGCACGTTACCATAGTCTCTCGAGACTGAAGGATGCCTACTAGTATGCACATTCACCATGTGTAAGATGTGTTTAATTTACTGGGATACATGTTAGAGTAAATAGCTCAAAGAGCTACTGCCAAGACCATTAAATGCAGGATTAGCCCTTCCAAAAAGGATGTTATCAATTCCTCAGTATCTAAAACCTCTTTCCACAAACTTAACATTTACAGCCACCACAAAGACAACAATCTGAAGAATAACAGCGCCAGCAACGACAAACTTCCCAGGGTTTCCTCTTCCTCCTTCTCTTGCTTTTTCCAGTCGTTCCCCTACTCAGGCTAGCATCCAACTCAGCTCCCAGCTAACATCCCAGAGCGATGCAACAGGTAAAAAAGGTCAAACAAGTGAAAACAAAAGGTAGATTATTTTTTCTCCATGGCAGGGCTAGCCTAACGTTTAAATATCAAAGTGTGGACTCAACTTGATCATTCTTTCACTCTGTATCCATCATGATTGGAGAAGCCATGAGATATTTGGCATTTGAAAGAGCATCGCCCAGTGAAGAAGCCAGAAAGCTGTTTCGGCAGGAGCCTTTCTTAGACCTTGGTGGCAGCGTGCTCTACTCTGCACACGGGATGAGCCTGAGGTCCACCGGTTGGTCCTCCTGGGTGGCTCTGTGTTGACAATTGGCAAATAGCCATCCTAACCGGTCAGCCACAGGCAACCTGATCCTCCTTGAATCTGCCCAAACTCCTTCTAGTAGAGGGCCCTCCCCCACCACCAAATTCGGCACCTCCTTTGTTTGCCCTGAGAAGAACCCATTCTTTTTATCTGTTAGCTTCCCTCCAGGAGCCCAGTGGGTTCTGGTTGTATTAGAGAAGGGGGAATAACGGAATAATGTTTTGCAAAGACCAAGCAGCCCAGAGCAGTTGTGTCTGATTTTTGAAGGATGACTGAGGCCAGCCCAAAGAGCCCAAAGATCTTCTCTGAGTCGGTGGGACCAGAGACAGACCACTGTGCTCCAGCCCTCTCTCTATTACAGATAAAGCCCCGCCACCTGAAGGATAGTCTTAGTTCCAGCATGACTGGCAAGGACTTCTCTTCAAGAAGCTCCCCACCCCCACCCCAATGCAGCATCTCTCCCTCCCAGAGAAAGCTGGGGGAACCAACCGAGTCTGCCGTCTTTCCTGCCATCCTCTTAAAGCCATCCCAAACTGCACAGTCCTCCCAGGGAAAGCCCAGAAGGAATGGGAAGGGTGAATTCCTTCTGATTATTCTCTGCCTGGAAAACCCTGGAAAGAGTTGCCCTAAGTTAGAACTGACTTGACGACACACCACTATTATTAGATTCCTGGCAGCTCCTCCAATGGCCCGAGGAGAAAGCAAGAGGTTGTCAAACAAGACTCAGAGAAGATCATCTCCTTCCTCTCATGTGCCGGTTCTGGCAGACACTTGCCACCTGGGGAGCTTCGGATGAAGAGCCAAGATGCTCCTGGAGCCCAGCCGTTCTCCGTGGGGGCCAGGGTGGCCTCTCCGGAGAGTTGCCTGGAAAGGACTCCCATTTTGGAAAGAGGGCATCCCGGGGGAAGGCTTACCATCTCGTCCTCCTTCCCCTGGCTGAGGAGGGCACGGTGGCCGTCTCCCGGAGGAGGCTTCACTGCCAT